TGTGTGTGTGTGTGTGTGTGTGTGTGTGTGTGTGTGTGTGTGTGTGTAAGAACCTATTTATAAAATAGAATGGCTCTACCTTCAGATATTACTAAACAAAGGATATATCTGATAGTTTCCATTAAGGCAGAAACTACAGCCCAGGTTGACTTTAAACTAAAGATCCTTCTCTTAATATCCTGACGCCAGGGCCCATGGTTCCTTACTCATTCATTCATTTTTGAGAAAAGGTCTCACTCTTCAGCCCTGGCCTCAAATTCATTGTTTCTTGAGTGCTGGCATTGGATGTATATGCCACCACAAGCAGCTTCTTTTTCCTTTTTCGAGCACAGGTGCATGCCATAACAAATATGTATAGGTCACATATTAGCTTTCTGTAGTCTGTTCTCTCCTTCCACATGGTGCTTGGGAATCAAATTTAGGTCATCGAGCTTGGCGGTGGGCACCTTTAACCACTGAATTGTCTTACTGACGGCCTTGTAGTGGTGGCTTATTCTTCTTTTTCTTCAAAACATTTATTTATTTATTGTGTGGTGGTCTGTCTACATGTATGCCTACATGCCAGAGAGGGCACCAGATCGCATTATGAGCCACCATGTGGTTGCTGGGAATTGAACTCAGGACCTTAGGGAGAACAACCAGTGCTCTTAGCCTCTGAGCCATCTCTAGCCTGGTCTTGTGGCTTCTTTTAATGGGAAATCAGGTTTACAGAAAGTTTTGTCCTCTAAGGGTATAATGATGATCTTTTAAGTTTTTGTTGTTACTTTTTTGGTTTTTCAAGATAGGGTTTCTCTGTGTAGCTTTGGCTGTACTGGAACTCCCTCTGTAGACCAGTCTGGCCTCGGGCTAAGAGATCCACTTGCCTCTGCCTCCGCAGTACTGGGATTTAAAGGCGTGGGTCACCGTGCCTAGCACTTCTTTTTAACTCCTTATTTAAAGAAAAAAAAAAGAGGAAAGGTACCGTCAAAGACTGCTGTGTGGCTATGTCTGTCAACTCTAATCTGACAGCCTGGGCCTTGGAAAGAATCTTAATGTGCTTATTATCCACCTCCACCTCCTTTTTTAAAATACTATTTTTGTGTGAGACCTGTGTCTGCCATGGCTTGTGTAGAGGTTAGAGGACAACTCTCCAGCATTGATTGGCTCTCTTCCACCATGGGTCCCCAGGACTGTTGTTGGGCACATATAAGTGCTTTTACCCTCTGAGTCACCTCAACTGGCCTCACAGTATCTTTGAAAGATTTACTACTCTGTCCTGGAAGAGGGAAAGGAGAAGCATAGAAGAAATGGTTAGTTTAAGGTCCCATCCCTTTAGAGATACAAATGTTCAGGTTGCCTCTAGATTAGCAGTACACAGTGGTTCCTTGTGTAGCTGTTCAGCAGTGCTGGGCTAGTCTGCAAGAAGAAAGCCCAGCTCACAGAAGGCTATTCATTTAGAAGCAATCCAAAGGACCTTTACAACTTAAATTTGTGTTCTTTCACAAAAACTTCCTTATCAGAAGTTCAGGGTTCTGTTGATAAGGTAATTAGTTTATTTTGTGAGGCACATGACAATGATCTTCTGTGTTGATGTCAGGTTATGTTTTATCTCTTGTTTTAAGGCAGATTCTTGCCATGTAGCCCTGGCTAGGCTCAAAATTGTGGCGGTCCTCCTGCTTCTGGGATTACTATGCATCTCTTGTTATCGGCTCAATAGTTTTCATTTTTACAATAAAAAAGGAAAGGATCTGGTGTGTTGACGTGCCTGATTCTGAGTTTGAGGCACACTTGATATACATTAGCATGTTCCAGTCCAGCCAGAGATGCATGGTGACGCTGTCTCCAGAACAGGATAAAGGGGCTTTTTAGAGAAAGTCAGCTAGTTAATGAAGAGGAGGGGCCTGTCTTTTTCCTTCTGATTCAGTCACATTACAAAGTCCTCTACTCAATGCAAGCATTTATATTTCAGTTTTCTCCTTTTGGCATAGTCAAGGTAAATATTTTTAGGAGTTTTAGTCAAAACCCTGGTCTCACTCTCTACCTTTGATTTGTTACAGCTTCTACACCAGTCTTTATCCCTGACATCTTCCCCCAAAGGAACCATTGAGAACATTTTGGACAGTGACCCAAGAGACCTTATAGGGGATTTCTCCAAGGTAATTGCAAGCAGACTTACCCTAGTTTTTTGGTACGGCAAGGTGGTGGGGATAGCTAGCCTTTCTAAGCTACCCTGCTTAGCCTTTCTCAAGGTGGGTCTTTGGGTACCTCCAAAGGAACAAAGTACCTCCAAAGTTAACGATAAGGAATAAGTTGAACTTCTCATGATGGAGTACATGTTGGTCTTCGAGACTGTTGCTAGCTCAGTGGTTTCCTATGCAGTTACCCACCTTCACTGTAACCCACAGTGCAGGTTTTCTGGGAACCAGGCTTCTGAGTATAGATAATATAGTATGCTTATACAGCCACTCTTCGAGTGGTTGTGTTGAAACCATGTCTTAGAAGGTCCAGATTGGACCCTAAACTGTTGCAAATGTTCAGAGGTATGACATGGAGGGAGTGGGCCTTTAAGGAAGTCATAGTGACCTAATGTGAGTTGGAAGCAACTGGCTGTAAGAAGTAGGATCTGGGCAAGTCTGAGCCTAAGCTGTTGGTAGGTCTGTCAGCAGATAGTTTTTCAAAGAACAAGCAGCTGGACGTGATGGATGGCACATACCCTTAATCCCCGCACTTGTTAGGCAGAGGCAGACATACTGAGTTCCAAGACAGTGGGACTATGTAGAGAGATCCTGTCTCAATAAATAAATAAATAAAGAACAAAAGAAAGAGCAGGGAGCTTGAGGAGAACAAGGAAAGCCCCCTTATGTTACCTTCAACTTGAATTGAAGCTCTAAGTAGCACTGATGTGTGTTTTTGGGGTTTTATTGTTGTTTGTTTGGTGTTTGTTTGTTTGTTTGTTTGTTTGTTTTTGAGACAGGGTTTCTCTGTAGCCTTGGCTCTCCTGGCTTTGTAGACCAGGCTGGCCTCAACTCACAACAACCTGCTTGCCTCTGCCTCCCTGAGTGATGGGATTAACACACCTGGCTATGTTCCTTTTTCTTATGTATGTATGTATGTATGTATGTATGTGAGTGTTGTATTTGCAGATACACCTGCATGCCAGAAGAGGGATTCAGATCCCAGTGTATATGGTTGTGAGCTACCATGTGGTTGCTGGGAATTGAAATCAGGACCTCTGCAAGAGCAGACAGTGCTCTTAACAGCTGAGCCATCTTTCCAGCCCTGTGTTCTTCTTTCTTTCTTTAAAATTTATTTATTTTTATCTGTTCATTGGTATATTGCCTGCATGTATGTCTGTGGGTGTCAGATCTTGGAGTTACAGACAGCTGTGAGTGCCATGTGGGTTCTAGGAATTGAATCTGGGTCCTCTGGAGGAGCACTTAGTGCTCTTAACCATCTCTCTAGCCCGTGTTCCTCTTTCTTTAGGCTGGGCCAAGGTTGTTTTTCCATTGTCACCACCTAACACCATGCTGGGCAACCAGGTGCTCATCAGAACAAACTGTTACACCTCCAAGACAGGGTCTCGCTTTTTAGTCCAGGCGACCTCAGATGCAGCTCTCCTGCCTCGGCCTTCCAGTGTTGGGGTTACAGTATGCAGTGCCTCGCCCATTCCCTCATTGTGTTTTTTGTTATAGTCTCATATCCCAAGTTTGCCCAAACTCTCACTCAGGCTCAGGATGATCTTGAACTCATGATCCTCCCAAAGGCTGCTGTTACAGACTTGAGCCAATCTGAGTATTCAGCAGGGGTGGGCGGATCTCTGAGTTTGAGGCCTGCCTGGTCTACAGAGTGAGTTCTAGGACAGCTAGGACTACACAGAGAAACCCTGTCTTGAAAAACAGAAACAGGAGAAAGGAAATCACCAGCGATTTCTGTGTTCAAATCTAGCCTCATGATTACTAGTTATAAGCCAGTCTGGCCTATACATGTAATAAGACTCTGCCTCAGAGGCCAAGCATAGTGCCTTACTCCTTTGATCCCGGAGCAGATATATCTCTGAGTTTGGAGCTAGACTGGTCTACATAATGAGACCATATCTCGTTAAACAATAACAACTAAATATCCAGATGTTAGCTGGGTATATAGAAAGGTAATTAGCATGTACTATTCACTTATGTTTGTTTCTGAGTTTCTTTTCTGAGCTGTTTCCTACCACCTGTAGGGCAGGGTAATAAACTTTACATTTATATGCTTTCACATTGCCCTAAATATCTTCTGTTCTGTTCCCTTCTTTTAAAGGGTTATCTATTTCATACAGTCTCTGGGAAGCATCAGGATTTAAAATACATTTCTCCAGAAATTGTAAGTCATGCTTGTGGAACCCATTGCACTTGGGGAGTTGAAATCTTGTTACCTGATAGCCAACATTTACACCCTCTCCCCTTTCTCTTCATAGATGGCATCTGTTTTGAATGGCAAGTTTGCCAATCTCATTAAAGAATTTGTTATCATTGACTGCCGATACCCATATGAATATGAAGGAGGTCATATCAAGGTTCGAACTTTTGTGGGGTTTTTTGTTTTGTTTTGTTTTTAAGATTTATTTTTATTTACATTGATGTTTTGCTTAATGTATATCTGTGTGAAAGTACCAGATCTTCTGAAAATGGAATTCCAGACAGTTGTGAGCTGCCATGTGGGTGCTGGAAATTGAACCAGGGTCCTCTGGAAGAACAGCCAGTGTTCTTAACCTCTGAATCATCTCTCCAGCCCAACGTTCAGATTCTTGAGACTTGCTGTCTTGGGAGGCTTAGAGGTAGGGGTGGTGACACTTCTCAGTTCATGTGAGGATTTAAAATGCGCCCGTAGATGTGAACTGAGTGAATATTCCCACTGGTTCCACTGCACTCTCTCATACTATCCCAGAAATGTCGGGGCATTTCTAGGGGACATATCTGATGTCTAAGCTATTCACTTGGTCCACAAAGGCTTCCATAGCATTTGAGATGCTTAAATATGAATGGATGAGCGCGTGAGGGCTTCTGACTAGAAGAAGCTAGTCTGGCAACATGTCCTAATGTGTGTCCCGGGCCTCTGCTGTTCAGTCACGACTCCTACCTTGAGGAGTGATGTGTTAGAACACATATTTCTAGAAAGGAGCTAGTCATACTGCTTTAGTGCACCTTATAAAGTAGTGTTTAAATGTGAGGGGTAGCCTCTAACTTTATGAGGTAACATTTAGAATTTCTAGTTCTCATGTGTTACTGAATGGCCAAAGATATACAGAGAAAGCCTCATTGAGATACCAAAGGCAAATGGTCTACTGTACTGCTGTGCCATGAGGCCTACAGAGTCACAAAGTGGTGTCAGGAGCTGGGTCCCTTGCTGAGTCCTTACTTCAGGTGTAGTTCAGCAGGTGCTCAGTATGTCTGCTGTCTCCGCAGGGTGCTGTGAACTTGCACATGGAAGAAGAGGTTGAGGACTTCCTACTCAAGAAACCTATTGTACCTACTGATGGCAAGCGCGTCATTGTTGTATTTCACTGTGAATTTTCTTCTGAAAGAGGCCCTCGCATGTGAGTACTACAAAGAGTAAGGTTTTTGGGCAGAGGCTTCATGATAGAGAATGGTAGCGTGCTTTTTCCCTAGGGGCGTATCATAATCATAACATGGCAACCATCCTGTTGAGCACATCATAAGTCCCTCCAGTGCCTAAGCCTGCATATTACATTGTAACCAGGTCTTTGTAAAAACTGAAACTCCTCAGGGACTGTCTCTGACATCAACTCAGTGGCTAGCTCTAAGACCTCCCCACCCTCGAGGGAGGAGTATCCTTGCTAGGCCACAGAGGAGGACATGGCAGCCAGTCCTAAAGAGACCTGACAAGCTAGGGTCAGATGGAAGGGGAGGAGGACCTCCCCTATCAGTGGACTGGGGGAGGGGCAGGGGAAGAGATGAGGGAGGGTGGAAATGTGGGAGGGGGCTACAACTGGGATAAAAAGTAAGTAAATAAACTGTAATTAATAAAAAAAATTTTAATAAAAAAATACATCACCCAAAAAAATCAGTTATTTCTTAAATAAATAAATAAATAAATGAATAAATAAATAAATCCCGTCAAATCCCTGGCTTCTCAAATGAAAAAAAAAAAAAAGCAAAAAAAAACCTTTAACTCCCTTTATTACATAGTTTTTCTTAATTGTACTTATCCAATGGTTTATCTTGCAAACAGCCCCTTCTTTGTTGTTTGTTTGTTGTTTAAAGATTTAATTATGTATACAGTGTTCTGTATGTATGTATGCCTGTGTGCCAGAAGAGGGCATGGTCTTATTATAGACGGCTGTGAGCCGCCATGTGATTGTTGGGAATTGAACTCAGGACCTTTGGAAGAGCAGCCAGTGCTCTTAACCTCTGAGCCAGCTCTCCAGCCCTTGTTTATTGTTTTGTCTCTCAAAAGGGGGCTTCTCTGTGTAGCCCTGGCTGTCCTGGAACTCAGTCTGTAGATCAGGCTGGCCTCGAACTCAGAGATGGAGTCCTGGAATTTAGGTTTGTGGCACCACCACTCTGTCAAATGCTCTTTTTGACTGTGTATTTGCCATGCCATATTGTGTGCATAGACTTCAGAAGACAGCGTGAGGGAACTATTTTTATTTTTATTTTATTTTTATTTTATTTTTATTATGTATTCAATGTTGTGCCTGCACGCCAGAAGAAGGCACCAGATCTCATTATAGATGGTTGGGAGCTCTGGGATCAAGCTCAGGTTATCAAGCATCTTTACCCAGTCCCAAACAGATTTCTTTGTATATGTGTGGGAGGGGAGGAGGGTTTCAAGATAGGGTTTCTCTATACGTAGCCCTGGATGCCCTGGAATTTGCGCTATAGACTACACTGGCCATCAACTCTGATCCACCTGCCTCTGCCCCCAGAGACTTGGGAATAAAGGCCTGTGTACTGCTGCCTAGTCAAAATTAATTTCTTGAATGTAGTTTATGGGCTTAACCTTGAAATTTCAGTTGAAAATGATTTTCAGGCTTCTCATTGATGATACAGTGTCAACTTTATAATATCACCGTGGGGTCAGCCTCTGTTCTCAAATGACTATTTGTCCTTTATATTGATTTAGACATTGGTTCCCGCCACTGTATTTCTATTTATTGGTCTCATATAACATCCTTTAAGCTCCAAGCAGTTGTTTCTTAAAGATTTTTTTTTTATGTATTCAGTTTTCTGCATGCATGTATGCCCACATGCCAGAAGAGGGCACCAGATCTCATTATTGATAGTTGTGAGCCACCATGTGGTTGCTGGGAATTGAGCTCAGGATCTTTTGAAGAGCAGCCAGTGCTCTTAACCTCTGAGCCATCTCTCCAGTCCCCAGCAGTACATGTCTTATCCCAGCCATGGGAAAACTAAGGCAAGAGGATCAGGAGTTCAAGGCCAGTGTAAGCTACATAAAACCCTGTCTCAAAAAAACAAACTGACAGGCTAGGAGTATGGCTCAGGTTAGATAAAGCACTTCCCAAGTATTTGTGAAGTCCTGGGTTCAAGGCCAGGTGTGATGGCATTCAGGCAGAGACAGGTGGATCTCTGAGAATTCAAGGGCAGTCTGGGATTCCATAGTAACATAGTCAGATCCTGTCTCTCACAAAAAAACAAAACAAAACACCTGACTTCACATATGCGAAGGTAACATGAGGAGGGCCTGAATATGCAAACATGAATGGAAGTGGCAGGGCTTGCTTCCCAGCCTCAGATTCTTCATATGTAGATTCTCTTTTAAGTGCTTGAACATAACATTATCAATATGGCACAATCCAAACCCTACCTCTGGAGGTGAGAGGAGACAGACAAATACTTAGAATTATGCAAAATGTTCTGAAGACATTAAAATGAGGTCAAAGGTGGATGCTCCTGCACAGAAGAGCAAGGAGACTAGAGTGGGATGGCTGACATGCTGTGGGGGACAGCACATGTTGTAGGACACTGAAAACTACAGCTGTACACAGGTTTGGGCAGAGTGGAATGGCGAGACAGGAGCTGTCATTACCCCCAGCATGGGGTTCTACTCTCAGGAAGTAGAAGGCCTCACCTATTTAAAGGCAAACAGGCCTAAGAAGGAGGAATTCTGTTTAGATAGGAGCTGAGTGAGGAGACCATGGGAAGGAGTGGAGAGCCGGCTGGCTCAGAGCTAGAGTTTCAGGAGTGGTGGTTGAGATGTGGTTGAGGAGAGGTGGAAGGAGTGCCTGGTCCACCACCTGTTACTACTGACTGTTGTCACCTGTTCCCTATCCTGAAGGGAGTGGCCTGACTTCATTCATTCATCCCTCTTTACTAGGTGCCGGTATGTGAGAGAAAGAGATAGGCTTGGCAATGAATACCCCAAACTCCACTACCCTGAGCTGTATGTCCTGAAGGGAGGATACAAGGAGTTCTTTCTCAAATGCCAGGTGAGACGTCTGAGCATGTCTCCACATTTCCATGCTGGACCAATGGGTCAGTTGTGGCTGCTGCTTGCCAGGGGTATGGGGACAAGATAAGCTTCTGCTAAGCACCAGGCTCCTGTAGAACTCGTTGGCCCTTGCTTCCTGCCTCTCCCAGCCTTGCAGCTCTAGGAAAGGAGGAAGCCAGATGGTTTGAGGCAGGCATGACTTGACTTTGTCCTCTCGTGTTCCTTTAGTCTTACTGTGAGCCCCCCAGCTACCGACCAATGCACCATGAAGACTTTAAAGAAGACTTGAAGAAGTTCCGTACCAAGAGCCGGACCTGGGCGGGGGAAAAGAGCAAAAGAGAGATGTACAGCCGCCTGAAGAAGCTCTGAAGCCATGTGATAGAGCCTGAGCTTCCCTCTGCCCCTTCCCTCTTCCCTTTGCTGCAGAGCAGTAAGCAAAGGGCCTGGCTGGCTGTGCAGTACGTGGAGAAAGACCTGGGGCTTCCACGCCTCGAACCTGTCTCCTATGCTTCCAGGTTGGAGAGCCCAGGGCATCCTACTGTTACACTCTTTCGTCCTTTAAGACTCCTTCCCTGTCAGGACTGTGCCAAAGCTGGACACACCACAGCACAGTGTGTGCTCTGGAGCACCGCATCAAGTTGCTCTGACTGAGCATCCCCTGAAGAAGTAGCTGGGGCCTATTGGGCAGACCCTGGCCCTGTCATGAGGGGAGAGAAGCGACCGAAGTGCTGCTGGCCAAACACCAAAGATAGGCTGGAAGGGAAAGGTTCTCATGGATGACCCATGACTTTAATTTATTCAGCTTCATCAATTATTTTATTGTTTTTTAAATTCCTCAAGACTTTTACTTTACTGCTTCATTAAGTCAAAATACTGCCATTCTAGGTAGTTTTATCATCCTAGGAACTACCTCCACTTTTAATTAAAAAAAAAAAAAAATGGGGCAGGGATTAGAAAAGGCAAACCTGTTAAATTGTGAGCAGCGCTAGGAGCTCAGTCACCCCTAGGAGGCGCTGTGGACTGGGATTGCTGCTACTCAAAGTCAAGGACTGAGATGCTGGTAAGAGCCTGCACCAGATCCAGGCTTGGCTACAGGACATAAGCTAACCTTCCCAGACCTACCTCTGTCCTTTGTGATGTCCTTGGGGAAAAATTTAGTTTCCACTTCTCCTCGCCCCAGATCCCCATGCCAGTGGCTGGTGTAGGAGTTGTAGGAACGCACTTCAGCAGCTTTCACCGGGCCACCCCTGCTCAGGACTGGATCGCTGCAGCGTAGATACCCCAGGGTCTGAGTGGAGTCCGCAGGGTAAGGGAGCATGCCCACTGAATGTCATTAAAAAAAAAAAAAAAGTCAGGAGTCGAGTATCAAATCAGTGTTGGATGGGCACCCAAGGGAGAGAAGGGGGCAGAAGCCCGGGCCATTAGGTGGAAAAGTGGGTCCTGGCCTGCAGATTACTGTAGGATTCTCAGGAGGGAGTGGTAAATTTTGAAGTAAAATGTTCTGGGTTTATCATGTTTTAATTTGAGGGACAGGGAGTGATGAATCACACCAGTTACCCCCTTATCTAACCCCATGGAAATGAGGCTCTTGGGACACCTCCCTTCTGAGGAGCTGGGCTGCTCTGACTGTGAAGCCTGTCCTTCAATACCTTAAGGCAGCAGCCTCCTTGCCATCTTTGCTCCATGGGGGTATGGCCAGGTTTTTCTTAGGGAAGGTCTCCCCTCTTACCTCTGCTTCCTATTCTGGGGGTGGGGAGGGAATCAGTGATATTGAAGATGGATAGTTGCTTTGTTATGGGTTTGAGTTGCATTTGGCTATAAAACAAATCTTGTTGGAAAATATGTGGAGAGCAAGGGAATGAGCAGCTTCTTCCCCAGTGTGTTGATGAGTCTGGTTTGTAGAGCTTCTGTTAGGTGAATGCCTTGAAGAGCGGCTTTTGGATTGTGCCAGCTTAGCCAGCATTTGACCTACTGTTGCAGGCTCTGCAAATAAAAGTGATCTTGAACCCATGTTCTCTGCCTAGTTCCTGATACACTCAAAAAGTTTCTTTTGCCTTCAGGCTTCCAGAGTCACCTAACTAAAACTAAGGCAGCCATATTTCCTCAAGAGGATAAATTACAGTTTTGGCCAGATGGTGGTGCACGCCTTTAATTAATCCCAGCACTTGGGAAGCAGACGCAGGTGGATCTCTGCACTCGAGGTCAGCCTGGTCTACAGGGAAAGTTCCAGGATGTCCAGGACTCTACAGAGAAACCTTGTCTTGCAAAAAAAGAAAAGTTTTCGGGAATGGCTGAAACCCCAGTTACCATGCTCAGTGATTGACAGAATGAAATGGGCATGAGCTTTTCCTGCCGGCAGAGCTGTACACACCTTTAATCCCTGTGTTGCAGGTATATAGGCAGGTGACTGACTTCCAGGCCAGCCAGAAGTGCTGAGACCCTATCTCAAAATAATTTTGAGTATTGTATGTGGCCTGTCAGCCCAGTCCTTGGGGTGGGCATAAGAGGGTAATGGCCAGAGGATTGGAGTTCGAGGCCAAGGTAAAAGGAGAAGCAACTTCCATGAGTTGTCCCCTGGCTTCCGCATATAATCTGTGTCACGTGTGTGCCCAGGCCAAGTAAGTTAACTTCCATTCCAGCTGCTTACACCAACACAGGAGGATATCAAGTTCACGACCAGCCTTGGCACTTCAGCAAGACTTGATCTCAAAAAGATGTAAAGGCCTGGGGTGCAGCTCAGTGGTAGAGTGCTATCTAGCACGTTCGGAATGCGTGCTAGCCCCTGGTCAGTGGGAGGAGCGAAACTCGGTGAAAGCTATAAAGAGCTCCAGCTTTTCTGTGTTTAATATTTCAAAAGAAATACTGGGAAAAGGTGAGGGCTATGCACGGGTGGGTCTGAGCAGCGGACTGGCTTAGTGCCTACATGGCTGGGGTGGATATGAGGGATACTGCAGGGAGATAGTTGGAAACAATAACATCCCAAGTGAACCAGGCAGAGTGAAGAGCCAAATGACCGAGGTTGGGGGTGGCTGGAAGGGTGCTCCTGGGTGAGGACTTCCCCCACTAAGGTAGAAACTGATAGCAGATAGGCTGAGATGGGTGAACTGGGGTCCTTAGCTCTTAGGACCTTGGGCAAGCAAGGACTCCTAAAACTGCAGAGCCCTTGGCTGAACAAGGGCTCCCAGAACAGCACAAACAGTCCCTTCCTGTGCCTGGGTGGGAAGCTCTCCCAGCAGTCCAGTCAGCCTCCCCTCAGGTCTCCTTTTGTCTTCTCAGATTTCAGTCAGCTGTTCAGGCTCTGACTGCTGCCATAGCTACTCTGTGGCCATCAGATGGCGATGGTGTCCCACGCTAGTTCCCTGTTCCCGGAAAGGCAACTGAGATGAAGCTGTGATTTGCCTGCTAGTTGTTCCCCAGACCCCTACCATTGTCTGAACGACGAGGGGTCGGTCCACATCAACCTTTCCTGTCTTGACTGTTTGATTGATTGGTTTTTCAAGACAAGGTTTGTCTATAGCCTTAGATTCACCTTGTAGACCAGGCTGGCCTCCAACTGAGAGAGTGCCTGCCTTTGCCAAGTAATCCCAAATGCTGGGATTACAGGCATGCGCCACCCAGTTCTTTCTCTCTTTAAATATTTCTTTTTAGTTTATGTACATTGGTGTTTTGCCTATATGCATGTCTGTGTGAATGAAGGTGTCAGATTTCCTGGAGCTGGAGTCAGTGTGAGCTGCCATGTGCGTTCTGGGAATTGAACCCAGGTCGTCTATAAGAGCAGCCAGTGCTCTTAACTGCTGAGCCAACTCTCCAGGCCCCCCTTCGGCCTTTTCAGTGTCTGAGCTCCAAACTACTTGGGAGGCTGAAACAGATAGGATTTAGAATTTGGGGCAAGTATTTATTTGAGATACATAAATATTTTTTAAGGTGTATTCTAATTTTTTTAAAGAATAAAATAAATCCTTAAAAAGAGAAACACTAGTCCAGATGAGTTTGGGAAGACCCACATTAAACAGCTCCCAGGACTTTTGGGTAGCCACTGATTGTTGGTTTGGTGTTGGTGATGCAGACTGGCGGCCGTTTATGAATGGGCACACCCATGCTCCGGTAGTGATTGAGTTCCTTCTGGTTACTCATTAACAAATGGCAGAAGCTGGAGGAGACCTTTACTCTCCAGTTCCAAACCCCAGATTCTTTCCTAACTTTCTCCCTTTCAGGTTGCCTTCTGAAGAATTATGCTGGTGAGCTTGCTTCTTACCTGACTATAGTACAATACAGGAAGGGAATTTTTAGGGAATCACTCGTGGATGTCAGTGACTGCTGCAAAGCCCTGTCAGAGTGTCTGAGTTTGAGGTCAGGAACTTCTATAGTCTGGGGCTGTTGAGAGACCCTGCCTCAAAGAAGACAATGAAGAAAGTTTTGTTGTTTTTTTCATCTGTTTTTATCTTTTTTTTTTTTTTTTTTACTGCTAAAATACTCTTCCCAGAGCACTTCCTACACCTAACGAAACAACAGTCTGGAGGGCAGGTCAAAAAATTAGGGTGAGCTGGTATGCCGAGGACTGGGGAAGGTTCCCTCTCCTCCCACATGCATTTTTTTTTTTTTTTTTTTTTTTTAGACAGGGTCTTTGTATGTAGTCCTGGCTGTCCTAGAGCTCACTATGTAGAACAGGCTGGCCTCAACTCTATGTAGACCAGGCTGGTGTCAAACTTACAAAAATCCATCTGCCTCTGCCTTAAGGGTGCTTCAATGGAAGGTGGGGCTTAAGGACCTTGATTGTCTCTGGATAACTCCAGCAATGAATTCCCATGAGATTTAGTATTTCTAACTTTTCTAACTTCTGCTTTCCTTTCTTCTCTTTCCCGCTGAGTCCTCATTGGAGAGTTTTAAATACAGGAAGAGGTTGGACACCAAAGCTACCTCCTGCCGTGTCCCCTGAATGTTAAGTTTATTCCCAGATCCAGCTGACCATGCCAGAGTCCCAATTCTAGGTAGGTCTGTGCCCTGATTCAGCTGAAGTCCTCTGCTCTCCTGAACTTGACACACACCCTGCTTCTCCCCTGCTCCCTGCCCCATACCTATCCTGCACTGGAAGGTAAAAAGGTTAAGGCTGGTGGAAACCGAGGCACGTCACCTGCCTGGCATTTGTCAATGTCCAAACAACTGGGTGTGCAGGAAGAATGACGAGCCTTGACAGCTGCCAAGCTACATACCACGTAGGGAAGCTGGTCAGGCTGGGCTGAAATAGGGTGTGGTGCCTGGCCCGGGAGCCTCATGGCCTGCCTAGACATCTGGCTGGCTCAAAAGTTCCAGATGTGCTGACAGGTGGGGACGACCCAAAACACGGGCTGTTGAATATCTCTTCATGGCCCCAGGATTTGGTAAGCAATCAAGCAGATGAGAGCAGCGTGGGTGAATGGAAACTTCAGATTTATGGTCCCCAGTATGCAGAGAACTAATGGAGAGGCAAGCTAGAGAATTGGAGATGACGAGACACATGTAAGGTACGTAGTGCTGTTCCGGTAAGTGCTCGAAAATCTCAAACACAGGCCAGATGAGTCCAGCACCCGGGGTAAATTCAGTGTCTGATCCAACTCTTATCCTCCACATATCAGCAAAAGAACAGAAAAAGATCAAGATAGCTACAAAAACATTTCAGGGAGTCCTCCCATTTGCAAATGGACAAACAGGCCCTGAGGAGAGGCAGTGATTCATCATACCTGGCCAGCCCGGCTGAGGCACGCAGTGACTGCCCGGCCTCCAGCCTGGTCTTTATTCTGGCTTACAAAGCTGGTTTTCCACTGGGTTTTCCTCCCTCCGCCTTCTCCTGCCACCCACCACCTAGTCATAGAAACCTGCTGAGACAGGAATGAGAATCACATTCCATTTTTATTTGATATTTTTTAATATATTATACTGAGTAGCCATATGTGGTGCCACATGTCTGTAATCCCAGTGCTCGGGAAGGCAGAGACAGGCAGATCTCTGTGAGTTTAAAGCCAGCTTGGTCTATATGATGAGACCCTATTTCAGAACAGCCAAGGCTATACAGAGACACCCAGTTCCAAAAAACAAAGTATTTATATTATATTATATTATATTATATTATATTATATTATATTATATTATATTATATTATATTTATTATATTATATTTATTATATATATTATATTATTATTTATATAATACTGAGTAACATAATGCTATATCCTTTTTGGTTTTGCCTTGAGACGGTAGGTATAGAGCCTAGACTGGCCTCAAATTCACCTTGGACTTCTGGTCCTCCACCTCCTGAGTGCTGGGATTGCGGTTGTGCATAACCACACCCGGTTAGTGTGATGGAGGGACAAGCCTAGGGTTTGCTGCATGCTAACCCACTACCTTGCCAACTGCTTATGTCCCCAGCCCTGTTTCTGTTTAGTTTTCTGAAACAGGGTCTTACTATGCTAGCCTCCATTTTCTTTCTTTTGCTTGTTTTTCAAGTCAAGGTTTCTATTCATAATAGCCCTGGCTGTTTGGACTCCCTTTGTTTACCAGGCTGGCCTCGAACTCACAGAGATGCACTTGCCTCTGCCTCCTGAGTGCTGGGATCAAAGGTGTATGCCACTACGTCCTGCTTGCTTTAATTTTCTTTCTTTCCGTTCTTTCTCTTTCTGTTCTGTTTTTCGAGACAGGGTTTCTTCTGCCTTGGCTGTCCTTTATTGACTTTTCTGCCTTTGTTGACCATGACCTCATTCCATCCCTCTCTCCTCCCTCCCTTCCTGGATCTTCCTGATGTCTATTCCAGTAGGAGTTCCCTTCAGAGGCTCATTAAACTGGAAGGAGCTCTAGGGAACCCACTCTAAAGGCAAGTGGATGGAACCCTTTCTTTTCCAAATAACCTGGGGGAGTTAGAGACAAGAGGTTGATACTTCCTGCAGATGTTGGTCAAAGCCAAAACATACCATGTGGTCCTGGTGTTGCATGCCTGTAATTCCAGCACAAGGGAGGCAGAAGCCAAAGAACCATTGCA